ATGGCAGCCATTTATCTCCAGGTTCGAATGGTTTTGCCGTTTCCCACCCTCCATCGAACTCCTTGTTCTAAAACTCTTTTTGTTTCCCAAATGCTCCTCCATATTAGCGAGGGATTGTCACCTAGTTTAGATTCTAACAAGGATGTACTTGGGAAGTACTTTGCTTTCAATACTCCACAGGCCAACGTGTTTGTGTTTGTCAACAATCTCCAACCTTGTTTTGCTAACATTGCTTGATTGAACTTAGCCATATCCCTGAATCCCATTCCTCCTTCTGTTTTAGGCTTGCACATCTGTTTCCAGCTCATCCAGTTGATGCCTGTCCTCGCATTTCCATGCCTCCACCAATAGTTGCTGATTGCACAATTTATTTCATTTCACATAGTTATTGGCAGCCTAAAGCAGCTCATTGTGTATGATGGGATGGCTTGTATTATTGCTTTCATAAAAACCTCTTTCCCGCCCATTGAGAGAGCTTTGTTCGACCAGCTTGCTAATCTTGAGGTTATCCTGTCTTTCAACCCTCTGAATGCACGTTTCCTGTCTCTCCGCACCATGAAAGGCAGTCCCAAATATTTCTCTAGGTTGGAAGTGATTTGAATTCCAGACTTCTTTAATCTCTTTTTGTTGAGTCTCTGTTGTGTTACTACTGAAATACAGTGTGGACTTGTCGAAATTGACTCTTTGGCCAGAGCTATCTTCGTATAACTGTGGCACGTACTTCACCTTTTCGCTTTCGCTCCTATTTGCACGACCAAAAAGGAAGCTGTTATCAGCAAAAAATAGGTGAATAACTTTGGGTCCAGATCGGCTCGCCTGTATTCCCCGCAAGAATCCTTCGCGTTGATTTTTTGCTAAAAGTGCTAAGAGACCTTCAGTACAAATCAGGAAAAGGTAAGGAGATAATGGGCCACCTGACGAAGGCCCCTTTCAGGTTGAAAAGAATCAGTTATGCATCCATTAACCACAATAGAAAAAGAAATAGTAGTAACACAGTTCATAATAATATCCACCCACCGTGAATGGAAGCCCATCTTACCCATCATCCCTTTTAAAAAATTCCATTCTACCCTATCATAAGCTTTGCTCATGTCAAGTTTCAGTGCGAACACACCCTCTTGTCCCTTTTATTTTTTTCCTTTTCCAAGCATGGATCATTTCACAAGCTACCAAAATGTTGTCCGAAATTAACCTCTCAGGAAAAAAGCGCTTTGTGATTCATTAATGCAAGTGGGAAGGACACTTTTTAATCTATTGACAATAATTCTAGCTAAGACTGGTTTTTTGGGATTTAAAAAGGTTTTTAAAGTATCCAGTGATAATTGTTTGAATATCATCCTTCTTTTCACACCAATCCCCAACTTCTGACATGAAACCCCGAATCTGATTCTTCTTCCTTCTTTGAAAAGCTTGCGTATGGAAAAAGGCAGTGTTTCGATCCCCTTCCTTCAGCCAACTAATTCTTGATCTTTGCATCCAAAACGACTCCTCATTTTTTAGTAACAGGTTCATTTCGTCCTTCCTTAACATGTCTTAAGATAAAGGACTTTGTTGAATGTTTTGGATTTCCCTTTTTGCAACTTCAATTTTGTTCCTTATTCCCATGAACTTTTCCTTATGCCAGCTTATCAAATTATGGCTTCCTGTCATCATTTTTTGTTGCAATGTACCTTGTGTTTCTTCAAACCACGAATCATGAACAATCTTTGCACATTCATCCTGCTTGGCCCACATTGATTCAAACCAAAATCCCTTTGTCCTTTGTCTTGCCCATTTTCATTTTCTCACCACCATTCACAGCAAAATGGGTGTATGGTCTGAAACCGAAGACGTTAAATGTGTAACACCATGGTTTGGGAACATCTCACACCAAGCTCTATTGGCAACAGCTCTATCCAATCTTTTCCGTACGGTATTTTCAACTTTTCGACCCCTCGCTCATGTGAAAAAAATGTCCATGGAATCCCAAGTCTTCCAACTCACAATCTTTTAGTGTTGTCCGAAAATCCATCATTTGCATTTCTCTCCTTAAACAGGTACCCGTTTTCTTGTTATTCCACATTATTTCATTAAAGTCCCCGAAAACAAGCCAAAACTTATTGTTTTGTTCTGCAAGCTGACATAAAAGTGCCCACGATTCACTTCTTTTGCTAGATTCTAGCTTCCCTAAAATCCCATGATTCGCCAATGATCTGGGTTTGAATTCACTGCAACTTCCATGTCAATGTGGATTTTAGATAAACTCAAGAGCTTAAGGTCCCCCTCACTTCTCCAAAACTTAGTAAGACCACCACTTCTGCCCTCTGATGAAACACCAATACAAGCTGTCATTCTGCATTGTCTTCTAATCCTATCGAGTTTCCTTGCATATAGCTTTGTTTTACTGAGAAAAACTACATAAGGATCTTCTTTATTGATCAGCTCTGTTAGAGCTCGAATTACCTGTGGGTTCCCGAGCCCATGGCAATTCCATGCTAAGCAATGCATGGCCATCGGCGGGACTGATGACCAGTCACCGCCGCTTCTTATTCTACGTTCTTCCCATCCCTGCCTTTATTGATTTTTATGGCCACTTCCTCTGTTTCCCTGTTGTGCTCTTCCTGCATGTCACAAAATTTGCGCTTTCCCATTTCTACAAGACCCCTTTCATTTTCAGTTGGTACTTCCTTTGCCAGCTTTTTCCACCTTTTGCATGCAGTTGGTTTTTCCATATTTAATGCTGTCACCTTTTGCATGTTGGACTTTACGTTATTTTCTCCATCCCTGGTTCCCTGCGTACCGTTATTCGTGATATCTTCCTCCTTCAAATGTGCCTTGAAGATTTTTCCATGTTGGCTTCATTCTCTTCCCCGTCATTCTCCACGTCCTTGCATCCTTGTATGCATGTTTCCTTACGATTTTCCTCCATTACTGATTTCTTTCCTTTCCATGCCAGCTTCATTACGGACCATGGTTGACCTCGAAATTCTAGCAGTCTGTTTATTGTGTATGATCTCTTGTGATCTGCCGTTATTAAAAAACACATCCTTGTTATCACGTGGTTCCTCCGAAATTATAGGATCTTCCATTTGTAACTTACTATTCAGTTTTCTGCCGCCTGCCTCTGAGCTGCCCCGTCCTCCGTCGCTATTCACACCTTTCTCCGCCTCCTGGCCATAGCTTGGGTGGTAGTTGTATCTATTGTATGGGACTGTGAAGGCCGTGTATACTCTCTTCGATTGGGAGACCTGTAACCAGTCCCCATATTGTCATTCAGTATCATCTTTGCCTTCTCTTCCAGCATCTAATTTGCATTCTACCTCTCTGTGTCCTAGCAACCCTCATTTATAACAAAAAATGGTTAACCTTTCATACCTCAATATTCCCCGTATCACATTTCTTCCTTTGGCAATGCCAGTCAATGTCACAAACCTTCTTAAAGGTTTCGATATGTCAATATCAACCCTTAAACGAAGAAAACTTCAACTTCCCTGAGTTGAAGTGTTTTATCTGCCCCCAGAAAACATCCTATCTTCGAGCCTATTTGTTCTGCCATTTCAATATTCATCGTGTTCAACGGCAGCCCGTATACTCTTACCCAGAAGCTAGCTCTGTTGAAAACGTAATCGGTTAACCTCAAACTCCCATCGTAGTTCTGAAACAACACAATGTTCTTATTAAAAGACCACGGTGAACCCTCCATCAGCCTTTGTTTGTCCCTTACGCTACGTTTGGATAATCAGCAAAAGAAAGGAAAGGAAAGTAAAGTGAAAGAAGGAAAAGTTTTTTGAAGGAAAAAAAAAAAAATATATATATATATATATATATACTTTTATTTGGATAGTTAAAATTAATAAAAAAATAAAAGAATATGAAAAAGAAAGAAATGATTTATTATATTATTTTTTATTATAACTTTTATAATTTTTGTTTTTATTATAATATTTATATGTTTATATTAACGTATTTAATATTTTTTATTTTTTTATACAAATAATTATCGATAAAATTTATAAAAATAAGAGAAAAAGATTAGAGACAATAAATTTATTAATAAATAATGTTTTATATTCTCAATTTAATTTTAAAGTTTAAAATCATATATTTTTAATTTAAAAAAATTAATAAAGATATAATAATCATTTTATATTTTAAAAATTTTATTTTTCTTTCCCTCCCTTTTCTTCTAACTTGAGGTAATTAAAAAATAAAAAAATTTGAAAAAACCAAAAGGAGATAAATATGTATTTTTTTAATTTTTATTTATATCATATACAAACAAAGGAAAGGATCCCTTTCCTTTATTTCTTTTCCATTCCTTTTCTTAGTGTGGCAAATTTGAAAAGGAATAGGTTGGTATCAAATACCGTGGTCACAACTTCTTTTGACAGCTTCCAAACCACCCTTAACGTGCTGATCATTGCATCTCCGTTGAAGGGACGATTTGTTAATAGTTTTGTCACTAACCAGCTCTGACTTTCAGATGAATCTTCAATTTCTTTTACCTCATCAGCCCTGGATCCTTCTCTCTCATCCTCAGTGAGTACCAAGTTTCTCCAAAACCCTCTAACTCATCTGCGTTGTCCATGTTTATGCTACATGAGTCCCTTCTCCCGATCAATATATCATTGGAAACTTAACTGACAATCCCTAAAGAGTAATCCAAAAAGATGAAGTCATTAAGATTAGATATTTACAGAAGACTAAGACTAATACCTACTCCCACAGAGCAAAGGGTGAGGAGACTTTTCTGATTATTTGTTAATTTATGATTGAATCTGAAATCCCTTGAAGTCCTTTTTATTTCATTAAACTGGTAAAGAGAAAAAAAAGTTATATTTTTTTTATCTTTAGCTAGTATAGGCTATAAGGATTAATTGCCAAGTTATTATTATATACCCTTTTGAAGATCAAGGTTATGAATTGAATTTGCATCTTCTAAATAAACAATTGAATAAGCCAAATTAGTAGCTTTAACTTAGGAAACATTATTTGGACTTCAGGGAAAAAAATAAATAAAAAGGTCCAGCCGGCCGTCAATAAAAAATTTTGAAAAAGACAGGTGGGCCTCGTTGTCCCCCAGCGTGGTCTTTGTTTGACAGGGAGTTCAAGGTTGTCAGAATCGGATTGGATCACCCGACCAGATCAATTGGCAATTGTACCCAATTTTACCCAAAATCCATAAGGAAAAAACAAAGAACGCCAATCAGCTGTCTTTTATAGTTTCTCAACTTCTTATCCGGTACTTGATTTTCAACAATAATTCTTATTCATACAAACTCGTTGCAGTTCAGCAAATATCACTATGCAGCAAATTCCATGGCTGCCACGCTATCTTAAATAAATCCTAATTGAGAAAAAAGTTGAAACGCTAAAATTGAAATACTTGATTACTTAATTCAATTACAAATTGATCGATATTTTTGTCTGAACTACCACCTTCATCAATTGCTTCTTTCGCCATATTCTTCCACTTGATTGCATTCTTCTTGGCCTCTATGCCCTTCTCTCCTTCCATTAATTCCCTTATGCAATGGTCTACAATCTCTCTTCTCACAAAACCTTTCTCATCATCAGGCCGAGCTCTCACTCCAAATCCCCATACGTCCTCTACATGCTTTGCATTTGTGCTTTGGTCGGACCATTGAGGCATTGTCACCATCGGAACTCCTAGACACAGTGCTTCTATAACGGAATTTAAGCCGCAGTGGGTGAGAAAGCAACCTATTGACTCATGAGACAGCACCTCCAATTGAGGGCACCAACTCACCACCAAACCCTTCTCCCAAGTCTCCTCTATGAAATCCTTTGGCAGCTTGGCCTCCTCCGATTCCCTCACAACCCACAAGAAGTAGTAATTGCTCCCTTTCAATCCCCAAGCTACCTCTCTCATTTGTTCAACATCTACTTCTGCCATGCTCCCAAATGATACGTAAACAACTGAACCCTTCGGTTTGCCACTCAGCCAACTCATGCAAATGCCAGTCTTTGGCTTGAAGAGATTGATACCATAGTCTTCGTCATTTTCGAGTCTTTTGTCCAAGTACATAGATGGAAGAGTTGGTCCTACTGTCATCACCTTCCAGAATTTTGACATCCAATCCACCACCTAATAAAAATCCACAAGGCCAAAAAACAGCTTTTTAGGATCTATAAATTAATCAGTGTTAAATAAAGAAATAGGCACTATACCTCTTTCTCCAATTCGTAAAAAATGTTAAAAAATACCCAATCAGCTCCATCAACGTTGGAAAACTGATTCACTAACACATCAAACCAAGTCGGATACGATCCATAAAGAGCAACATAAGATGGTAACTCTGAAACTTCAAGTAGAGGCAATCCAGGAAGAGAAACATTAGTTCCAGGCAGTGGCAGCTGAAGAAGTCCCCTGTTAACATGGTAATACACGCTGTTGACAGCACACAATTGAGTAAAAAACACAGCCGAGAGCATCCCAAACTGCTTTGCAAGATCAAGTGCCCAAGGCAAAAACCCATCATATACAAGGGCGTCAACAGGATGACCAGAATCAGCAAGTTTCTTGATTAAACTTTCCAAACTCTTAGAGCCTACGGACCAGAAAGTTCGCACGTAAGCATCAGCGCTGCCAGCCTGATCATAGCCGCCTTCATCGAAGCCATCGGATATGGCTTGGATATCGAAAGAGCTGGTTGGATCGGAAAACGTGGAGGACTTGGAGAGGAAAACAGTGGTTACCAGAGTGACTTTGACGCCTTTGGCGACTAAGCGTTTACCGAATTGGAACATGGGGTTTATGTGACCTTGTGCAGGGTAAGGAACGATTAAAACATGGGCTTTTCTGGCTTTGTTCTCTTGCGCCATTTTCTCTTTATTCAGTATCAGTTTGCTAAGGCGGTCAGTCGTTCACCAATCTTAATTATCTGCCCTGCTCTGCTTCTCTCCTGGAGAAATAACAATTTATAGCGAATAATAAATTTCATGTGCATGTACATCACCTGGCGCAAGTATGACAAATAGTATCAAAGCGGGCCGCTCAAACCTCTAAGGATACTATCATGGGGCTCAAGGACAATAATAGCGCCAAACATCATAAGGTGGGGTTGATTCCCTTAACGGATTGATCAGGACGAGCAGAGTACTTGTCATGTGACGCAAGTGTGTGTTGAATTCCAGTATTCCACGGGCATGGTTTTGACTTTAAACACAAGTATTATCTGCTTCTTTAATAGGCTCTTTTGTTTTTTTAATTATCATTTTGGATTCAGGTCTAAACCCATGTCATGCATGTTCAAATTGTCGATGAATTAAAACTAGTAAGTAGCAACCATTACATAACTTTTTTTTTTTTCAGAAAATGAGAGTCTTGTCAGGCGTTTGAGAAAAAGAAACCTACATTTTCTTTTGGATAAATATACGTTTATCAACATAAGCGGATGCTTTCCGTCCAACTGAGGTTGATTATTACATTTTTCTTTTAAATTTCATCCTCTGTTTTTTTTTTTAGTCAAAAACAAAGGAAAAAGCCAAAGAAAGATATAACTATAGCCAAAAAATCTAGTGCTATTGGCAATCTATTTAATTTTCTCTTATAAAAGTACTAGTCAAAATTTGTTAGCAATTATAGATTTAAGATTTTTTTTAAAATGTTTATTTCTAATATATATACAAATTTATTGGTGAATTTATCAATTTTGTCAACAGATATATGTCTAAAAAATGTTTCGAGAATGCCCAGAGAATTTTTTTTTTCAATTTTTTTATTTTTTTATTTTTGAAGGTATTCATGAACACCATACTTTATGTTTTGGATCCGTCTCTATTTATCAAATTGAAATATGAAATTAGTTTTTACTATTAATTACTATACTTTAATAACTAAATTTATATACTTGATCCAAATTCAGTGAGACCAAAATCATGATATTTCATAAACCATGCAATATTGAGGTAGCTGCTCCCTTGCCCTATTTGTGGATCCACCCGTCATTATTGTAATTTATTAACACAGACATTCCTATCAATTAATACGTCGAGAATTATAATAAACTCTAAAAATAAACTTTTTTCTATACTCGCTCAGTCGCTCTCATTTTTTGTGTCTTAGGTTGTATTATTATTATTATTATTATTTAGCTTTTCTTTTTGATTCATACGCTAAAACAAAAAAAAGAAAAAAGAAAAAGAAAGAATGATAATGGTTACTAATTAATACTAAATAGAGCATTCCACAAGTCGTGTTGTTGCCCACCCGGAGGGCCAGATCCATGAACCCAGTCAGCCGGACCAATTTGCAAGCCCAACCCCCGAAAATCTTTTATTATAAAATAATTAGTTTTTATTTAATTTTTTTTATATTAATCCATAATAATTTTTTAATATTTTAATAATAAATTTAACTTAAATGAGTTTATCTCGGTTTTATTTTAATACAACCGGAACTGGGATTCTTACAATGGAGCAATCATGGCTGAAATAAAAGCAACTTGAAAGTAATTGAAATGACACAATATTAATCGCAATAGCTGCATTTGCTACAGAAAAAATAAATTTTCCTAAGCTTTTTTAGGAGTGGAACTGGAACATATGACCTTCGCAATGAACTCATCAATGTTTTTATCAGATCTTCCGCCTTCATCCACTGCTTCTCTAGCCAGTTTCTTCCATTTATCAGCGTTTCTTCTCATCGCTTCACCTCTTTCTCCTTCCATTATCTCCCTTATGCAATGTTTTATCGCTTCCCTTCTAACAATCCCTTTCTCATCAGCCGGAGCTTTAAGCCCCATTTCCCACACGTCCATGATGTACTTAGCATTGGTGCTTTGATCAGTCGATTGAGGCACTCCTACCATTGGGACACCCAAACTCAGAGCCTCCAAAGTAGAATTCCACCCGCAATGTGTAACGAAACACCCTGTCGATTCATGTCGTAAAACCTCTAGTTGTGGACACCATGTCACCACCAAGCCTTTCTCAGATGTCTGGTCGACGAAAGTTTTTGGGAGTTTTGCTTCTTCGGATGCTCTAACTACCCATAAAAATTGGCTTTTGCTCCCTTTTAAACCCCATGCAATCTCTTCCATTTGCTCAGCTTCTACAGCTGCCAAGCTCCCAAAGGAGACATAAACAACAGATTGTTTTGGTCTGTCATTTAGCCATTTCATGCAAGCATCAATATTTGGCCTGAAGATGCTAAAACCATAGACTTTGTCGTCCTGGAGTCGCTTATCTAAGAACATAGATGGTATGGTTGGCCCAATTGTCCGCAATGGCCAGAGCTTTGCCAAGTAATCAGTCTCCTGCAAGAAAATTCATGACAGAAACAATAAGTTCGTGAAACTAAGACCTTATGAATTCGCCAAAGTCAGTTGTGACAACCAGTCAAACTTATAGTTGACTTACCTCTTTCTCCAACTCATACAATGTGTTAAAAAGCACCAAATCTGCGTTGTCAATATTGGCAAACTGATTCAGAACCATTTCAAGGAAAGCAGGGTATGATCCCCAGTCAGAAATTACAGAAGGCATGTCCTGTTGTTTAAGTGGAGGCAATCCAGGGACCAGAACTTGAGGTTCTGTGAGAGGAAGCTTGACAAAGCCCTTATATATATGGTAGTAAATGCTGCCAACAGCACTAGATTGAGAGAAAAAAACAGCACCAACTAGGCCAAACTTCTTGGCAACATCTAGACCCCAAGGCAAAAAAGCATCATAGACTATGCAATTTAAAGGGCAGCCTGATGCATTCAACTTCTCAACAAGCTGTATAAGAGTTTGAGGGCCAACCTGCCAGAAACGCTCCAGGTAGGCCTCAACACTTTCTGCTTCAATAATACCGCTTTCATCATAGCCATCGGATATGGTCTCAAGCGCAATGGAAATAGATGCTGCAGATCTATGTATGCTCCTGTACATGGACCGAGGAGTAGCCAATGTGACTTTGAGTCCTTTGCTTTCTAAGCGCTTAGAGAATTGGAGCAGAGGGTTTAAGTGGCCTTGGGTTGGGTAGGATAAAACCAAACAGTGAGCTTTGTGGGAGGCTCCTTCTACATTTTCCATTTTTGATCTCTTGCTGCTTGCTAGCTACCTCAAAGATTTACAGGAACTGCGCACAACTCGTAGCCGATGGATTTCAGGTGGCTTTGGCCTGGCCTCAGCGATGCTTTAGCTCACTTTGGTCGAGTCCTATCTCGTAATACTGGCAAAGGACAGCAGTTCCAGCTGGCTCATATACCTGGGTTTGTACCAAGTATCAAGATCGGCAGGCTGATGGTTGGATCTAAAAATTGTACATATTTATTTACCATTAACCTTCCATTACAGGCTATGCCTTATTGTAATGATATTATCGTTCGTCGACATGATGGAAATAAATAGTTAGCAATTGCTGAAATTTTCTATAGACCACAAATCCAGATGATATTTCTCGACATCATCGACATCGTCATCACTTAAAGCAATATGACAGATAAAAGATCATTCATTATCAAAAGTTACTGATACGACAGAACTGGCGTGAAACGCATGGATTAGCGTAGTATTGTACTATTTTTTTCTGTTCTTATACATTGATTTAGCATGATAACGTTTAAATCTAATCAAATTCGATTTAATTTTTTTTAATAATAAATAATATTATAAAATTTTAAAATTTAATTTAAATTTAAATTAATTTTTTTAAACCGATTCAATTCAAATAAAATTTTATTAATTTTAGTTCATTAATTTTTAAAATTTAATTTTTTATATATTAATTTAATAGAATTTTTAATATATTTTAATAGATTTATATAAGAAATAGTTATTTTTATTTTATAAAATTTTAAAATATATATAATTAATAAAAATATATACTTTAGTTTGATTTATATTTTTATTTTTTATATCTCAATTTAAAATTCAATCTAAATTTAATATATATTTAATATCCAATTTTAATTTAAATCAAATAAAAAATCAATTTAAATTGAATCAAATATTATAATTTAGAATTGATTTTTCAATTTTTTAATTTTAATTAAAGAATTTTATAATTTTTAATAGTTTGATTTAATTTTTTCTATGTTTATTTGTAATTATACAATTCTCTTCTGATAATGATTTAAGAAGAAGACACACTGTATACAAAAAAATTTAGAAAGCAAATTGAAAAGGATATAAAATTAAAGCTGAATAAATGCACGAGAAATACCAAAAATGATTTCAATATGACATTTTTGTCAAATTCAAAGCTTCACTCAAAAAATATTTTATTGATTTTATTTTTGGTAATTTTTGAATTACAAATGACATTTTGTATTTCCTTTTTACATTTTAGTGGAAGTTTTTTTTTTTTTTTTTTTTTCAAGCTTCACTTGATTTGATGTATTTAATTTTAATATAGCATATTTGCCCTACTAAATTAGATAAATAAATTTTTTAATTATCCAAAATAATATGAATATATGTATTGTTATTTTAGTTTTTATATCAAATAAAATAATATTTTTTATTAAAAGGTGTAAGTATTATAAATTTATTGTTTTTGCTATCGTGGTTGTTTATTAAATTTTATATAATTTTTTTATATAATTACGTTTTGATTATGTAAGTTTAAATACATTGGATAGTTATAAAATAAGCTTTATTACTTTATATAAATTGTTTGTAATTTTCTACCATTCACCAATTTATTAACTTTTTTTAACACTATTATTTATTTTATATTTGAAATTTTGTAGGACATTTTGAAAAATTATTTTTTATGCAACATTTGAAATGAACTTATATAATTTAGATAGTTCATGTATTTGAAGAAGTAAACATAATTGTGGTCAATATTACTTATTTCATTTAAAATAAAAAATTATCTATTTGTATGTATATTTAAAAAAATATTTACTCTTATATAAAATTTATTACTTATATTATAATTAAAGTTTTTATTTATAATTATATATCTTTATATTATATGAATTTAAAATTAATTTTATTAAAATATTATATAAAACATATATTTATAAATGATAAAATTTTATATATTTTTATAATAATTAAATAAAAATTTCGCTAATTAGTGTTTTAAAGATCCTGTTTAAGATTATTATATTAAATAAGATCGATTTTTTATGTATTAAAAATTAATATATTATTTATCAACTATTACGTATAATAAAAAAATATTATAAATAAAATTTAAGTAAGTTTAAAGAATACCTATCAATGAATAAAAAATTAGACTGACTGATTCAGGAACGATGGCTTGTCCAATCGAATACCATATATAAGACCAAACTTTTAGTGAACCGGATAAATCGTGATTTAGTTACATCTAGAAATGTAAATGATGTATTAGTATTCGTAAATTATTTAGATTTAATTCGAATAAAATTTAAATTCAATTCAGTTATTATCAAGTCGAACTCAAATTCGAATAGTTTAACTCATCGATCAAGTCGAATTTGAGTATTTTTAGATACAATTCAAGTAGTTCACGAGTCTAATCAAATTTTTATATTTAAATATATTTTTATTATTTTAATTAATAAAATATATCGAATTTGAGTTCAAACTTGAGCACAAATAATTAAACTCTGATTAAGTATACGAATCGAATTTATTTTTATATATTAATTAAATTTAATCGAACGAATTCGAGTAACTCAATTTCAATCATGAATCGAGCTTAAGTTAAAAACATGAAACTCGATCAAATTCAAGTAGAGTATCGAACTGTGAATTAAGAGTCAAGCTTAAATTTAAATTTTTTATTATATGATTAGACTCAATTACACCTCAATTAAATAAAAAAATATATATGTTAAAATTAAAAATTTGTAAAATTTTCTTATTTTTTAGGATTTTTTTTTCAACGAAAATTAAATGAACTTGGACTTTTCAACCACGGCCTAAGTCAATTCCAAACCTAAATCACTAGACCAATATTTTATTTTTAAACATAAATACATTTTTTAGCAAATTTTATTAAATGACTAACAATCTCTGTGTACTATATTTTTTTGGTTTATTATATATTTTTTGAATATCTCAAAATTATTTTTTTAACACTTAATTATCTTGTTTTGTATATTTTTAAATTATATTTTTTATTTTATATTTTAACAAAAAATTATGATGCATTAATTTTATAAAAAATTAAAAAATTAATATAAAATATTTAAAATAAAATTTTCTCTTAAACTCGTAAAAGTAGAAATGATAAAAAGGAATACCAAGGGAGCATAAAATCCAAGTAAAATACTCTCCTATAAATTTAAATACCACGTCACTGTAAAGAAAGAAAGAATCCAAGCAATGAAATTAAGATGTGATATTCAAGTAAAATATTAAATTTTATATATTTATTTAATATTTTATATAAAATTATATATTATAATTTATATTAATATAAAATATAATATATATTTTTTAATTTTATTAAATTTATATATAATAATTATTAAAATTTTAAATCATATCATTTTAATATTTAATTTTTATATTATATTTAAGTCATCAAATTTAATTTTAATAAAAAAATCATTTTATTTCTCATGTCAATTAATAACATCAATATCAAATGCTTATTCCAAAAGATTGACAAATGTAGGAATCCCATAGTAGAAGGCCTAGGATTACCTGTCAACTCTCATTTCTATTTCAGCCAAAACAGTAGCTGTCATTTTAGCTGATAAAGTCTTCTTTGCCCTTCCATCACTCATAATTTAAGCAGTTATTAGTCAAGACTCAACCATACGTTGACGAAGACGAAATCACAAAATACTGTCAGACATAGCAAAAGCTGATTTTATTTTTTTTCGGAATATTGACCACATCCAATATTTTTAGGCTATTTTATTTCAAGTAATTGATTAATTTATTATTTATTAAATATTTATGTTCTTTAATTTAAATAAAAATAATAATATTTTTAAAAAATAAATATTCATTAAAGATAAATCTGTTGGGATTTATTTATGAAATAAAATAATTTATTATATATATTTTATATTTAATTTTTTATATTTTAGTTAAATGTTTTATTAATTTAATTTTTAAATCAAATTAATAAAAAATTAAATTATTTTTAAAATTATTTTTATTATTAAAATTAATTTAATAACTGATCAGTTAATTAAATTAAATAGATTGAATCCATTAATTCAAATTAAAATCGAATTATAATCACCTAGGTACGGCAATGTTTAAGACCACAAATGGAACAAAACCTTTTTTCCTAGGTTCGACCGTTTCAGTCAAGCTGAAAGAACCCTAAACAAAGCAAAAACAAACCCAAGCCTGAAACTTGTTCAAACCATCAAAATTCTAACCAACCCCACTAGCAAGAATCACCCAGAAATCCCAGTTCCATGGAGTTTAATTGCTCATCTCCTAACACCATCCCTGTAGTTTCAACTTTTGCCTCTCCCTTTAACAATTCTCCTCCACTCAACGGCTCAGATTCCACCTCTACCAGGAAGCCCATAAGCCTATGGCCTGGAATGTACCATTCACCAGTTACCGATGCTTTATTGGAAGCAAGGTCCCAAATATTTGAGAGACTCCTTGACCCACCCAAAGATGCACCCCCTCAGAGTGAGTTGCTCACCAAAACTCCCGCTCAAAGCAGGACCAGCATCCTTTATAACTTTTCATCAGATTATATTTTGAGAGAACAATATAGGGATCCCTGGAATGAAGTCAGAATTGGCAAGTTGCTTGAAGACCTTGATGCTTTAGCTGGGACTATCTCTGTCAAGGTACTGTTTTTTTTACAAAGTTCATTCTAATACATTTTGGAAACTATAAATATGCAACCAAGTTGTGCTATTTGTTTGTTTGTAAATTAGCATTGTTCAGATGATGATAGCACAACAAGGCCTCTCTTGCTGGTTACAGCTTCTGTTGACAAGATTGTTTTGAAGAAGCCTATTAGTGTTGACATTGATCTGAAAATAGTTGGTTCTGTCATATGGGTTGGGAGGTCATCAATTGTGACTCAACTAGATGTCATTCAGTCCACAAAAGGTACTTCAATTTCAAATTTATGATTAGCGTTGCAAGTTAAAAACCTTAAGATGCTATTCTGGTACCAGAAAAATGAAATAGATAGTTGGACTACAGTTATATTGTAGCTTCTACTTTATAAAAGGGGGGAAATCATGAATTTGCGATTTCCATCTATCAAATTGAAGATTGATGTATTAGAAATGCAATTAAGATGAAATATGCATTCATTATCTTTTTCGGGTACAAATTCGTTGATTCTTTGTACACATTTCGATCAGTTAACCATAATTCCATGTCATTTATTTCTTTACGTTTGATAATGTTCCAGACATAAATCATTGTTGAAAATTAATTGTAGATTTCCTAAACTTTCTAGCTTTGTCAAGACTGTAGAGCTTAATGGTGTGACTTAATATACGGTATTAATGTGTAGAAACCCATCTGAACTCTCAATTCTTTGTAGTGAATCTCAGTGCTAGTGAAAATTCAAGTCAAAGCATGGAATTGTGTACCTGTCTTTAGTTTTTATGTCTCATTTACTTCATCAATCATGCTAAATCCCTTAAGGATTTCTTTTCATAACTTGTACTTCAATTTTCAAGAATTGACAAGCTACCTTCAAATTGTTGACTGCCTTATTTGCTTTCTTCACAGGATCATTTACATATCAGCTATATAGTTTCTCCTTGAGGCTTCCTATTATATTTATGTAGTCATCTTCTCTTATTCACACCATGCTTAAATCCATGTCTTAACAGAAAAATTCTGTAATTTGATATGGATATTTAACAACCCCACCCCCACTCTTTCTCCCTTTTTTTTTCACCCCAAAGGGAAAAAAATTCAAGCATATTCTCTTTCAAAGCCTACCTAGTATGAATATTAATAAGCATTGTCTGCACAATTTCACACTCTGTCCTTTAAGAAGAAGCACATTGTCCTTTGACATTTCATGCAACTTTGACTCTTTGATTGATGAAATATCATTTATCTTCCTTTGTGATGGTGAAGTTTTTTACTTAAGTGATAACTTTGCGCATGCTTAAAGATAGTATTCAGAACTGACATCAGATTTAGTCATTTAGGTTGTTGCTTCTCACATAATGGTTATGATCAGCTGATATGTTTTGATATTCTTGGTAATGGCTCTGGGTTTCCATAACCTACAAACAGATCACTATTCTTTGAGTTTGTGAGAAGTAATTTGCAGTTTACCAGACCACACAACTGCTAGCAGTGTAATTCTGTAGACGAGTCTTTCATATAAGGACATATTAGCTTGAAGTTCAACCATAAAGAGTTGGACTTTGATTAGATAATGTTATTTCATGCAGAATACTCAGATGTCACAGATTCGGTAGCCCTTACAGCCAACTTCATCTTTGTGGCCCGTGACTCTAAGACTGGGAAAGCTGCTCCTGTTAACCGGCTTTCACCAGAAACTGAACATGAGAAGTTTCTTTTTGAAGAAGCTGAAGCTAGAAGCAAATTGAGAAAAAGGAAAAGAGTAGATAGAAAAGAATTTGAAAATGGGGTGGTAAATAGACTGGAAGCACTCTTGGCTGAGGGCCGAATCTTCTGTGATATGCCAGCCTTAGCAGACAGAGACAGCATTCTTTTAGGGGATACCCGCCTTGAAAATGCTTTGATCTGCCAACCACAGCAGAGGAACATCCATGGTCGAATTTTTGGAGGTTTCTTAATGCATCGAGCATTCGAGTTAGCTTTCTCAACAGCTTATGCCTTTGCTGGACTAGTGCCTTGCTTTCTAGAAGTTGATCATGTTGATTTCTTAAGGCCTGTGAGTAACTTTCTGCTTTCCATGTAGCTTTTAGCATTAATTTAATGGTGTCTGAGAGATAGAGAGAGATCCTTATCCACGACATGGTAGGGTTGCACAGTTATTCAACTTTATGTGAAATAACGTTTGTGACTTATTTCTTCTTCTTTGCCTTTCATGCTTGATGTCGTTTGAGATCGTTGAGTGTACTGCAATCTTTTCATCCTGCCCTTTTTCTTTGGCCTCCAATCATTATTTTAAGCATATCCTCATGAAATGGAAGGCAAGTAGGAATTTTCAGATGCAATATTGAGTGTCCTTGAATTCTTAATGTGCCAAGTTTCAGCTTCTTTGATCTGCATTCCTGATTTGTTTACATCTTTTTTTTCAGTAAAACTAACTTGCCTTTACCCATAATGTATTTTACCTAATTATTGATATGCTTGGATGAGTGTTAACTTTATATGAAAGGCATAGGGTTATCGATTTATCTTTTAAGGAGATTTTATAACTTGAGCAAAGAATACATGTATTTGGAGCAGGTTGATGTAGGGGATTTCCTCCGTTTGAAATCATGCGTTCTGTACACAGAACTCGAGAATCCAGATCAACCACTAATTAATGTTGAAGTTGTTGCTCATGTTACGAGGCCTGAGATCAGATCTAGTGAGGTAAAACCTTGCAAAATGCACTATTAAAGAACAAAAGGCTACTATGTTCTTGATTCCTCATTCACTAATTTCATTGTTCATTTAGTCAGTATATTATCTCTTTCTGTATCTGTATCCATTATGCAGGTATCAAATACATTTTATTTCACATTCACTGTACGGCCGGAGGCCAAGGCCACGAAGAATGGTTTTAAGATTCGAAATGTCGTTCCTGCAACCGAAGAAGAGGCACGTCGCATTTTAGAGCGCATGGATGCTGAGATGCTGACACATCAAAATCAGTGAAGCAGGAGCAGAACAACACATTTTCTAATACAAGTAATTGATGCTATTGGTCAAAAGTTGAGATAATTTGAAATATTAAGAACATAGATTAATGTGGCCTGTTATAATTTGCTGGCATGAACCGGATGAGTGTCTCATTCCCCTTAAGAATCATATTATTATTATTATTATTAATGAAGCACGGAAAATTCTCAGCTTTGATGTTTATTTAGATGAACTTCAGTTCAGACTCTCGATCCCTTTTGTTATAGCCAAAGAAAAAAAACAACTTCAACTGCTTGGGTGTCGGGACCTGTCATTTGAAGTTTTACATTGTTGCATCTTTCTCTTATTTTTTATTCTTTATATATATATATATATATATATATATTCAAGGTTGTTGGAGTTGAATCTTGATAGATAGAAATAAGGGCGTCCGGTACTCGTGATCTTTCTTGATTTTTTCCCTAAGACGTCCAACAAATTCAGCAGACTGCCTTAGTTGTTTCCCAAGAAATCTCCTCTCGTATATTATATATATAAAACAAAACCCTTCCCAAAATATTGTACATGGATTTATATAGATACAAAAATAAGAAAAATAAATAAATAAATTACAAAGACCTTGCTGGACCGGCCATACAAGCGCCAAACCCCAAAACCACCCAATTTTGGCAGCTTCTACCTTAAGTTTTTGACCTGTAACATGCTGCAAACAACTAAGGCGATGCAGTCTCATCATCAGAACCATACTGCGGCCTCCCCTGAAATCCAGGAAAAGCTTGCGGCAGCATTGGATTCACGGGAACTGGAAAAACCTGTTGCATCATTGGATTCACTGGAACTGGAAATTTATGGGCAGAACTAACAATAGTTCGTTCATTTATCATGCCAACTTCCTTGCAGACCCGATCAACAACTGTAAGGAAATCCCTCACCACCATAAAGATTCTAAATGGGTGGGCTTCTTCCTTTGCTGAGTTCCCATGGAAGTATTCTGTAATCTCCTTCACTAGAGTTAGTGCCACACTTTCATGGGCTTGAATCCTTATAATTTCCTCCTCGGCCATTTTCATAAACCTGTTCATTGATTCTGAAAATTTCTCTCTGCTCTTATCCGACCCCATTGACTCATTTAATCTTAGAACCTCGCTGATGTTTTCAAGGCCTCTGGAAAGCTTAGAGACATCACTAATAAGTACCTCAGAATCCATTGCAGCAGCTTTCTTCACGTCGCTGAGTTCTGAACTGAGACCAGAAACAACTTGTAAACCAAGCTTCCTACACCGAGCATCTTCGTTTAAGGATGAGCTTGGAGTTTGATTAGTATTTGAAAGACGAGCACCTTCAGTTCGTATGATTTCTTGTACTACAAAATGTAAGAGTGTGGTCTTCCCATCCGCACCCTTGACATCTACAAGCTTAAGGAGTGTATCAAGTTTAAAGGCATGGGCATCACCACGGTTTGTCCCGACATTCATGCGGTTCCCAGTCTTGAGTACAGCCTCTAGAAGCTTCAAAAACATCCTACTGTTTCTCAATTCCTCGCAAGCAGCCTGTGAAAAGGAAAAACCAACGAGACACAGCTAAAGATAATTGTTTATCAAGCAACAACAACAGGTTTTGTTAGTCTATCATTAAATAATGGGATTTTGCATTGACAGTATTCTGTGGAAAGAAGCATTGCTAGCATGCTCAGGGGAGTGAACACACACACAACATCTTTTAGACTATTGCCATGGTTACTATAGTCAACACATTAAGAAAAAATACGCACTGCATCTTAATATTCTTCTTGTTCAAATGCCTAGGCAAGCTTATGGACTAACCAGGCAGTCAGGCAAGAAGTAACCCAAAGTCTAAGGCACATTCAATTAGTCATTCATATTTTACTTTGGAAAGAAACCAGTGATAAAGGTTTTGAATAGTCAAATAGATAGCTGTCATGTTTGGTGTTGAAATTTTCTAAACCGCAATGAAGGGTATGAAAGTTGGATGAGTATTCACATATTAACGCAAGCAGAAACAAGCAACTTATAAAAGCAGAGGAAGAAAGCAAGAAGATGAGCAAAATGGACAGAGAGAAGGAATTGAGTTAAATTACCTCTAGAGTTTCGAAAGACCTTTTAAGGTATTCAACTTCAGACTCGAAGTTGGCTATGTACAGCATTGCGTCCACCCGTTTAAATGCAAACGGTATGTCAACAACTGCTTTCAAAAATTTCTCAGCAGGACCAAGCTTGACTGGTGAATCATCTTTGTACTCCTTCAGCTTACGTTCCTCTTCTTTTGTTGGAGCCATTTTCAATAAACTTTCAAGAAGTTCAGTGCCAAGTGTATCTGCATTACCTGTATCATCATAGATGTGAATTTTAGTGTCATACATAATAATTCCAGAGATAGGAAACCGTATGGTTTGGCAAGGATATAAAAGTTCAACTAATATCATTTAAAAGCAACGCAAACTCAGAGTATTGGTTCCGAAAAACGTAGTTGTCTGCTTATAGTCTTGTACAATATAAAGTGCCAAATAAGCATCTAAGTCGGAATATTTCTTTAGTCTAATGAAAGCCAAATATTTCACAAATTCCTCTCAAACTTGCCTTCATTTAAAACAGCCAACCACTTAATTCAGGATGCTCAATCAAACAGAACGATGCAAATTATGAAAACCATTTGGAAATTAAAGCATCAATCGTATTAAGACAGAAAAATGCAATCTGTCTTAAAAGGGAATAAGCTTCTGAACTAGCATCTAAACTTAGACTACACTAACAGCTTTCATTCAATGTCTTGCACCGTGAACCGTTAAACAACAGTCCAAAGTTGTAACAAAACACTAAATTTAGGGACATCTTCAGCAGAAAAAATTCATTAAGTAAAGCTCAAGGAACATGAGGGCAAGTATGTCTTAAAATCAACAAAAATTGAACAATGATTGCAACCAAAGAACCAAAAAGTAATTTGATATTTTTTTAAATGACAATTTTACCTTCTAAAAGGGCTTCACAAACTTCCTCGACAGTCACATTGAGTGCCCTTAACAAAATTGAAATGTTCTGTGCCTTTTTGGGATCCAGCACTCTATTCTCGTGGTTTGGTGATGGAAGAACAGGTTGTGGAGTTATTTGCCTCGGTTTAGAATTTGAAGTGTTTACGACGAATAGTGTTTCAATCATCTCCTCATTCAACCTGCAGAAACCAAACTCTTACACAAATTATTCAAGAAACATCAAAGAACTAAATTCAACTAAAACAAAAGAACCGAAAAAAAAAAAATACTCCACAGTTAAGAGGAGGTTGCAATCATACTTAAATGAGCTTGATCTGAGGTGATCCCACACCATTTCGCGATCAGAGCTGGCTCGTACTTTATCCCAATGCAACGGCTTTAACTTGGGTTTCGAAGCCTCCTCCTCCACCTCCACCTCCTCCACCGCTTCAGGCTCAGACCTCGTTGGCAACTCGACTGGAGAAATCGTTATTGGGGTTTGTATCATAAACGGCATCGAAGGGGGCATAAGAGGAGGCGGCTTGGATATCTGTTGTGCAGAAGATACTGATGGAACTAATTTTTCCCAGAGCCGTCGTTGCTTTGGAGGTGGCGGAGGCGGCGGAGGCGGCGGTGGAGTCAACATAGGCCTCTCTAAAGCCCTACCAATTCTTAAGGGAGATGCGTCAGGACTTTTCTCCACATCTCTTCCTGGTGATGAACAAGCTGAAGATGACAAAGAAGAATCCCTATTATAATGCCAAACAGCAACCATCAATGGAGACATATCTGGGCTTTTCTGGAAAGCTCCGTCTGGTGATAGTGAAGCGGATGATAGTAAAGGAGACTGCTCATTCACAATCAAAGCTCTGTCCGGGGATGTAGAGGCCGCTGACAGTGAAGGAGAGCTGACAATTCGATCCATATCATTAAGCATTCTTGGAAATTCATTCGGATTGTTTACCTCGTTTCTGTCATGTGAAGTAGAAGCTGAACAAACTGACGGAGACATCGTCTCGTTTCGATCCAGATCATTAATTGGAGATTCTTTAGGTGGTGAACAAGTAGCAGCTGGAGCTGAAATCAAAGGAGTCCTCATATTTTGAACCAAATCCTTGAAATTTCTAATCGATGCATCTAGCTTTTCTATCAACGCTCTATTTGGCGAAGTAGTAGCCGAAGACATCGAAGGTGACCCCATATTTTGATTGGGAACAATAGATGAACCTGGGTTCTCGACCAACATCGGAGACAATGAAGGAGATTGCACGCTTCGATCATCTGGTTCTTTTATAAGAACTCTATCTGGCGATGTAGAAGTTAAAGACAGCGAGGGAGACCGTACATTTCCATTGGAGGCATTCGAAACTCTAGGTGATTCAACTAAAATCCTCTCTGGAGACAAAGAAGGTTGAACTTGCACGAGTTCTGGAGAATTCGGGTCGGATCTTCCCGGACTCAAACTAACCGGGGGAGAAATACTAACGGACTGAGACCTGGCGGGTGAACCCAAACTCGAAGATGAACGCGAACAAGTACTGCTAGACTCAATGCTTTTAACAGCAATCGCCGCATATACTCTTCTAGAACCGGATCCGGTTCCACTCAAACTATCTGGACCGCCCAACGATCCTCTCGGCGAATAAAACTCCTCTTCTTCTTCTGTAACCAACTCCACTTCAACGTCTCGAAAGTTCCGATCAGTGTTCTGTCGAGACAGAGGCGGTAACGGCTGGAGCTCCGGGGAGTCCATTTTTCTCGGATCAAACGGAGAATTGCCTGGTGAATTATTGGAACCATCATCGATTCCGCCTTGTGAATTTACCAAAGTGCCCAAATAAAGGAATTCGGAACTGGTCGTGGAAGCTCTTCTCAGCTTACGAGCATCAACATTGTTGTTGGGGTTGTTATTGTTATTGGGGTATAATCTGCTGCTGTTGTCCGATGTTAAGGTCTTGTTATCGTCAAGGAAATTGCGTTTCAGGCGACGGCGCCGGCAGTAGAAAAAGACAAGAATGCCGGCGACAAAGGAGGCGGAAATAACGGCGGCGATAGCGAGGATGAGGAGTTTCTGGGAATTATGCTTGGGAGCGGAAGTGTGAGGGAGGATAAGGGAGGAAATGTTGGCAGGGAAAGAAGCGAAAGTGGAAGGAGAGGGAGGAGGGGGAGCGGAAGGGAAGGACGGGAAAAAAGGAGAATCGGGGGGGTTAGAAGAGGAAGAAGAGAAAGGATATTTGGGAGTGGGAGGAGAAGGAGGATGAGGATGAGAAGAAGGTGGTTCAGATGGAGGGATAGAATTTAATGGCAAGAAAGGTTGATGGAGGATCCTACGGCTAGGAATGTGAAGCGATTCACATGGCAAAAACGACAACCAGGAGAAGAAGGAGAAGCAGCAGCAGGAACAGAAGAAAGAGGCAAGCATTGTGTTTTTTTGCAGGTGTCGGGGGAGGGAGAGAGAAAGAAATGGAAGGAAAATGGAGTTAATGGTGTGAGATTTGTGGGGACTATTCTTTTTTCTTTTCTTTTCTTCCCTCTATGTGAGAGAGATAGATGGAGGAAAAGGGAAGGGATCAGAGAAGAGGCAGGGGAAAAGTTGGGTGAAAGACTGGTAGTAGTAACAGTAGTAGTAGTAGTGTGGAGTAGAAAGATGCGGGAGTGGTAGGTGCATCCAGCTAAGATTCGGCCTGAAAGGGTTGGGGAGAAGCCAGGGCTTTTTTATTTGTTTTAATTAATCTGTATTATTACTCAATTTTCTATGAAAATTTGTAAGAAAAATAACACCTAGTTTAAAATTTCAATAAAAATTTTATATAAATTTAATAAAATATAAAAATATATTTTATATTTAATATATTAATATAATTATAACATAATAATTTTCGAATTTCACGTAAAAATGAAAACCGAAGATGATTGCTCTAACTTGGTGTCCGGTTTGATAAGATTGGTCTTACGTTTTATAAAAAATCAAGGCCACATCAGAACAAAAGATATCCTATCTGGAGTCATGTGCCCCTGTTTGTATAGCTTTCAGTTAGGATGTTACAGTGTCAAAATCAGTGTTGCTGTGGGAGATTCTGACACCATATGATTGTTGTCAATATTTAAGTTATATGATTTATTCAATTAATTAAAATTATTTTTTTGATAAAAAAATTTTAAATTCGATTATTTTCAGTAATAATTTATTAAAATTATTTTAAATATATAATTTATAATCACTTATTTTAAATTATCAGATACGATATATTTTATTTGATTTAAATGATTAAATAATTTATTTATTTTTAAATTTTTTTAAATATATATATTTAAGCTACATCCAACGCTTTTTTTTTCTTTCAAATCTCTTGATAAAAAAAAAATCTAACTATGGGATTTTGATTTTCTTTTTTATAATTTGGGTTTACCATTATATTTTCCTGCTGAATCTATCTGTAAAAAGGCACTTTATTTTCAATTATATTCTTTTCAACTGAACTATCTTGGACTTTTTAAATTACTATAATCCTCCACTTTATCTATCTTATTATGTCATTTTATTATTCTCTTTGTTCCAATAAGTTTGTCAAAATTTTCAAATTTTACCTTTATTATTTTAATTAATTAAATTTTACAATTATATCATGAACAAATTTTCACTAGTTAGTAGGGTAAAATTATTTGTGGCTTGATGAAAAGTGAAAAAAAAAAAGCATAACAAAAATGTGAAATCAAATTATCACAAGAGTGAGTTTAAAAAGGAGAAAAGACTCATTTTTTTTAACCCTTGATTCTTTTTATATTTTAAAACTATTTTTCGTAATTTTTTTATTTTTTATTAAAAATCATAATATATTATAATATAAAATGTAGTAGAATTAATTTTTTTTACTATATGAAAATCAAATAAAACAAATATAATAATACGAAAAAATAGTATTAAATATAGTAGAAAGGCGGGAAATGGGAATTGGGAGTTCAGACAGTTGGTTTACACTTTACTGCAGTTTACCGACAATTACGTCCCGCGATTTTTGGTCAAAATAAACGGTCGTTTCCGTCCACGTTTTCACTCCAATTTAACTATTTCGACACCTGGGTTGGGCCCTCATAATTTCAATCATCCGTCACTCACCCACACTTTATACATTTTTGCTGACAAAACGGCTACCAATTTTCATCATTTACTACTTTTTTATTGTCCTTTTTAAATTTTTTACATGTAAGATTAAGGGTTGTCACGTAGATTTATTTTTAAAAATTAATAAATTTTATATAAAAAATAATGAAATATGTTACAATATTCTAACATCACTTATAAAATTTAAAAATTATACCAATGTAATATAAAAAAAAATTTATGAAACTGGGAGAATTTGTACTGTCTTCATAGAGAAGCTGCTTGAATGTTTTGTTTATCTCAAATTTAATAAATATTTAAATTTGAACCTTTCACTTGATATTAATTGAATTTAAATTTGATGGTTGACAAAAAAAAAAAAAAAGACAAAGGAAATGAGACTTTACTACTATATTAGTTTAGGCTATTATCTTTTTATTACTTATTTTAATTATTTTAATCCCATTATGAGGGTCAGTAATGAAAATTTCATTACTTTAATTTTTGAAGAGGGCTGCAGTAATATAAGGTAATTCTTTGTGTTAATTGCAGTGTCGAAAATTTTGTAGTAAAAAACCAGTGTTTATTTTTGAGTTCGATTCAAAGAAGTCTTTTCTTTCTTTATTTTCTTTTTCATATCATATAATCAAAATTTATGGCATGTACGAATGCAGAATATAGTAGTACTACAAAACTTGGATTCCACAAGAAAAAGAAAGAAACGCATTTACAGGGAATTGCAGAAAATGAAAACAAAACAAAATTGAAAGCTTCAAAAAATGCGAGATCCTGGAAAGCGAAGCCCATGTGTGAGAGGACTTCCTCTTCACAGCACCGACACTTTCAGTTCCAATTTCCTAATCCTAATACCAATGTTTGATTTGATGCAGTGACCAAACAACAACCCAAATCAAGTAATAAAAGAAAATCCATGGTTTGGACGACCCTTTTTGATTCCTGTCACTTGGGAGTCTGTGACACTTTAAGGGCATTTTGTCTCGTTGTTTATAAAAATATTCATGGATCTGACCTAACGATGCTCATTCTTCTGTTTATATATATATAAATATATATATATATATATTAAATGAAATAATTGTTTAATATTTTTGGAAGTTGATTAGCTGAGGTTGTTTTGCCTGGATACATGACATTAGCAGCAGCATGGAGCTGATGATATGAATAAAAAATCAGAACATGTGAGTCATACATGACGAACTCAGCCCTAGTTGTTACGTTGAGTTAAAACTGTTCAGTCAATTTTTGCATTGACTCGTTACGTTGTTTAATGTTTATCACAAGTTACTAGGTCAGCTTAGGAAATTGCCACAACAGCAAGACAACATTAAGAATATATTTTATTGAATTTTGAAGTATGAAACTGCAGTTTCGATCGATTTCATATGATGAATGGATGGGTCTTATTGTATACTTAATTTTTACAGAGATGGCTCAGTTGGTAAGTTCATTTTTTCAATAAATAAATGATTACGAGTTTCGATCTATTGCAGTATATAATTTGTATCGTCCTAGCATTTAAAAAGAAAAGTTGTATGGCTGTAAATTTAAGATGATTATTATGATTAAAATATTTAGAAAAATCAATTTACAAAAAGATTATGAGTGATATCCGTGTAACAATCATTGTGGTGCATGCATTTGTGATATATATATATATATATATATATCACATATATATTATTTAATTTGTCATGCATTTTCGTGCAATTCAAGTAACACATATGGTAGTCTGTAAATAATAAATATGAACGATAAATTATATAATTAGTCACTTAATTTTTGTGATCATTTTAAAATGATCATTAAAATATTAAAAATTTTATTTATTTATTAATATTTAAATAAATATTTTTTAAAATTATTATACCGTTAAATAATAAAAAATATCTGATGTAATTTAACTAATAAAAAATGCTTTATTTACGTAGCCCATATTTTTTTCACATCACATACAATTAAAGAGTAAAATATTCTTGAGAGATTTATAGCCTTTTTTTTTTATATATTTCTTTCCTCCCTCCTCTGTTTCTTTCTCTAATCTTTTTTGTTCATTCCCTCTTTTCTTTTGCTTCTTCTTCATTTGTTTCTTCTCCTTTGGTTAAGGATGGTAAACCTTAATATGATTATTTATTTTTGTCATTATGAAATACCAGTTGAGTTGAGGACCTTCTGATCAAATAACAATCCTAAAAGAATGTTTTTGGGTTGCAATTTTTAATTGAGATTTGTCTATTTCTTATTAGGAAATGCATTCATTTCAAAATCTTGAATGCATAGAAATCCTAGTGCTTGAAACCTTTTATCTCTGATACTGCTATAACTTATGTTCAATTTTCTCATCTTATATCCTTATGCTACTTTTTAATCATGAGGCTTCAATTTAGACTTTAAAAGACATAAATATCAAATATCTACACAGATTTAGAGTGTTAGATACAGATATCATCAAAATTTTAGCATCTAGATAGATTATCTTGCATCATTCAAATTAAATTTTTTATGATAACTTAACTTTAACAATAAAAGTTACAAATACATATAATTTTTTAGGCTAATTATTTGAGTTAATTAAGGTTCTTAAGGTTTCCACCAGGATCCCTAAAAATGCTTAAAAGTGAAGGGTTGAGAGATATCTCCTTTGCAATATGTTATGTGAGAGTTGAAAGGCAGATAACAATATTTTTTATCTTTATATCTCAAACCTGGGCAATAATTTGTTTGTTTTTTATATCTTTATAATCTGCAGCTATTAGTTGAAAAGTGTTTATATATGCTACTGCTACATTTTACTATTGCCATAAATGAAAATTTTATATATTGATTGTTATGTATTGTTACTTTTGAATCATCATTTGATGAAAATTTTCTGTGAAGATTTCAACTGGGATTAGCAACAATCAACATATATATGAATTAGTGTGTATTTGGTACCCTCGGATAATGGCATTTGCTATTGAAAAATGATCTTTTTGTAGACCACAGGACTAATTCCTTGGCCACTTTTGGATGGGTCATTGCAACTCATTTGTTTCTTTATCCTATTATTCTGATCATTCTGATACATCTTTCTTTTGCTTTATCTATCTATATCCAGAGTAAGTGCTTATAACATACTCTAGATATTTTTTACATTTCTTTGTTCAGTTTTCTCATTATAAGTTAATCTCCAAGAAGTACAATTATTGTTCTATTTTCTCACATGTGATCTTTTTATTAGGATGCGGTCCAGATGCTTCTCCTAGGAAATTGTTTATGCGAAGACACTAACAAGAAGTGGTGAACCAGTCAAAGTTCCTTCTTGGCTTCTCATGGAGACCAATAATTTATTTTGCATTTTGGGCTCTTCTGTGGTCATTCTATGTTTTGGTTCTTTGTGACATTTCTTTGAAACAGTTTGGTGGTATACGGGAGATGTTTAAAAGGCACTAATTGAATGCCATATCATTTTTGTAGTTTTTGCTTTTGCTTTTATCTGTATTATGCTAGGGTTTAAAGTGCAAG